GTTCATGTAGATGTTATATTAAGAATAAATGATTCGAGCTTTTACCTAAATTTGATAGTCAATTCTTGAATAAATTCTGAATCACGAACTTCTATTTTTTTGGAACTACCAACTTCTTTATTCCAAGAATTTGATGCTTCAAACCTCCAAGTCTTCTATTGTATTCTTCAAAATTATGACTATATTGGTGGTTGGGACTTGGGCACCTTTTTTTTAATCAAACCAAGAAATTAAATATTGAACTGGACAATTGAATAAGATGAGAAAATAATTATATTCTCTCTCTCTCTCTCTCTCTTTTTTTTTTCAAATTTGAACACTATGTAATTATGTATTATGATTATTGTACAATTTCATAGGACGTCTAGTTTCCATCTAACCTCTCTTTATAAAGATAAAATAGTTACAATCCTTATACAATAATAATTCTACATTCAAATAAGAGTTCTAATTAAAATCTAAGTAGGAGTTTTAATTAAAATCCAAATTCAATTAGTTTACATTTAATTACATAGTTAGACCTAGAAACTTCAATTACAATTATAATTAAGCTTACAACTTTCACAATAATTACAACTAAGCACAAAACTTTATTGTAATTAAAATTATGTCCAAAATTATTATAATTACCGTAATTAAGTTTCAATATTTTATAGAGCTACCACAATGACCTGATCGGACATACATTATCTAAGCTCTAATAATTAGATTTGTCTAGTCGACCCTAGACCAGCCAATCTAATTATTAGTCTTTACTTTTTTTCACTAAAGGTAAAAAATTGAACTTTTGAAATATATAAGATCATAAAAGTCAATAAATTCGTAATACTTTTCCTCTGACCTATTGTATATGTATTTTATTCTCATCTGAGATCCGATAGTTAGGTACGAATATAAATGATCGTTTTGTTCTTTTATTTATTCTCACTAACTTAAGTATCATTTTCTTCAACGATCATGTGAACTAATCATAGATATCAAAGTTTAGCCATCATTAAACACAAAGCTTAGATTTTAATCGTTCAACAAAAAATATTTAAATAGACACTATATCCATTTTTTTGGAGTAATGACTCTTGACACGAATTCATGTTCTTTACACTCCTCACTCTCAAATTTTCAACTCATTGAGATATTTGATCAATTAAATTTCTCTCACCCATTGATGAATCAAAGAATCATTAAAATCACGAAAGGAATCCTGTCAAGGGATTTCCATGAAATATACAGAGATCAAGTTAAATTTAATTCTAAGCACGGACATATTAGTGTCACCTTTATCTATTTTTGTGAGAAGGATAAATCACAAATTTGAATAGTAAACCGATAACAACATTCATGTACAATGTGTCAACCCTTATACATTGGTTGTCAATAAATTATTTATGATCAAAATATAAGTTGTTTCACACTATACTTCTCAACACAAGTACCCAACTTATACTATCACAAGTGATCATGTGCACTTTAATTCGCATGCTCAATAATAAATAAGTATAATAAATTAATAAATTATGGTTTTATTTATTATAAATAATTATTTTATCATAATAAAATATACTATATAGACACACAACTCAACACTGAATGGCCAAATGAAATGCTGTTGCGCTTAGGGAAATTGATTCACAAGATTTTTTTGGGTAAACGAGAATCTAAACCGAAGTAATCTTCCACTTACGGATTCTTCTCCCAAAGGGACCACTGCTTTGCCTCTTTAGAAATTTGAAAGGGCACTCCAATATAATGCGAAAACGACTTGAGATATATGAGCATGAAGTGGAATATATCTCTTCAATTCTATCAAATGCCGTGTGCGCACGCATAAACGTATATGTTAGCAAAGATACAATCATTATAGTCGAGTGCTTTAGCATATTGTTTGTGGGCTAGATCGAATACAAAATTTAGGATTTATACACATCTTAAAAGTTACTATCAAATCTCGTGTGTTTATTTGTTCAAGGGTCTGCTAGCAAATATATTTGTACGTACACATCGTGCACAAAAGAAATTGTAATGTCGTAGGAGGAGTATACAATACAACTATTAAATTTTGTTATGATCTTGTTCGGGAAAGCTTGAGAATTTGTTAAAAGGTTGAGGTTAAAGTCAATAATTAATTTTAACCACATATTTTATGAGACTCACTATTTTTATAAACTTTTCAATCATACATTTTCATCGACTTTTGTCAAAATCATTGTCAGACAACCCATATAAGTTTCTTTCTTAGTTCCATCCATTTGAGAATATGTGATACAAGTTTTGTCCATCTTACCACTTAGAGTATCCCATTTTATAGCTCCGCTCAACAGTCGACAAAATCTTGGCAAATGTTACATACTTCTCTATATTCCCAATAGTTGACTTATCACCCTAAGAATATATATACACAAATAGAAATAAGGTTTGAGCCTACGATGGCAAAGGCTTTAGCTTTTGGGGTTTTATTTCTATTTGACAAACGCCAAAATTGTCGAATATCAACCGTAGAGTGCAAAGGCCAACAATAGGTAACACTCCTTTAGAGATGTTGAATGTGATTCTCGTCGTTTTATCCCTTGAGTAGGGGATAATGTAGTCCATCATCTAGTTTCTCACGCTATCTCGTCCCCAGTTAGTTCAAGTTGTTTTGATTTTATTGCAGAATTTATTGCATAGTTCATCTTTGACGATATGATATAATGGAATTCCTTTGCTTTCAAAGAGAAAAACAATGAATTTCATAAGTAAAATTTCATAGGGGAGAAAAAAAGAATGAGAGAAAAATAGGAAATAGGAGACATAAAGAGCGAAAAAGCTTAATTTTGCTGATTATCTAATATAGCCTTTAAATCGAGTCGTCACAATGACTATTTTACCTACATAACAATATTTTATATGCAATCTACAATAACACTAGACAAAGTCAAAATTTTTGCAACGACATCTACAACTTCAAAAGTTTGTAGTTGATTACTGACATTTGAAACTTTCTACTAACTTAATAAAATGGGTATTGTCTCATAACGGTACTTAACTACATTTTAGCAAATATACAATTAAACTTGAGAACACAATGGAAATATTAGGAAAAAAAATAGAAATTTTCTGTCTTTCTAAAGTCCAACATTTTTAGAGCCTGTTTGGACCCGATTTTTTCAACAAAAAAATTGATTTTTTGACCGTTATTTCACTATTCCAACCGTCATATTTGACTTCTTCTTTCACAAGTGGACCCCACTTTTCCCCTAACGGTCAAAAAATCAATTCTCAAAATCACTTCCAAACATGCTCTTAAGATTTGAATCAAATTCAAGAGTATTTTATGCTTTCATTAATCATCCATTGTACTTTAAAAGTACAATTATCATATAAAAACCATACTTGAAGTAATCCTCCTCTCTTGACTTTACATACTAAACTAAAAATCTTGTTGTCCTATTTAATTAATTATTACTTGTTACTTGAACCAACGAAGATGCTATGCCAATAAATTATAGCAAAAAGCTTATAAATGTGGCTAAAAAATAATGAATAAAAAAGATAGTTGAATAATTGAGAATTGAGGAGTCAACGATGTAAAATAATAGAGAATCGTGTCTATTGTGGATTTCCTACAGAAGTGGAAAGATCTTTTATTTGAAGAAAGAATAGTTTTGTACATGTAGAAAAAGTAAATGAAAAGGTTGCAAAAGTGAACAATGAGGTGAAAAAGAAGGAACATATCAAATCAAACAACTTTTTTAAGGAGCCCCACTCCTCTCTCCACCTTTGTGTGTCTGTGTATAAATAAATTAAGTAAAAGACGTAATAAGGATGTTAAGTGGGATGAGCCTAATCGAAATGAATGGTAATTTAATCGTGCGAATTGTTCATAGGCTTGCACTAGCTGATTCTTTCGCTAGTTTGTGGTGGAGCCAATTCTTCAACTACTCGCTTATGACTCGTCTAATTGAGAAAAATAACATACAATTTCAACAAAAAAATAATAAAAAAATATTCGTAGCTCACAAGCTAACTCGGCTTGTCCCATCAAGCTCTTGGAGCAAATCGAGCCGCACTTTTTTTTAAGTGAGCCGAAATGCTCAATTCGTCCCATTTAAGATCCATAAATTTAGCCTATGTTTGATCTCCATTTTTTAAAAACTCATTTTTAATTACATATTTTTTCATAAAATATTTTAACACATTTTTCAAAAAAAATACTATTTTAAAATATATTTATTTCTTAAAATCTCATTTTGATGAAATTCAAATAGGTGCTTAATTCTAATTTAAGTCCTCAAGATGCTCTCACTTTGTGTGTGTGTAATAGGCGAAAGATGTAAAGCCCTTTGATTAGGGTTTGGGTTGCGTAGTGGTGGTGGTGGGTCCACCATGAGGGCGACTAAATCCCTCCAAGTGATGATAAAATAGTATACGTGTGGTGGCTTCTTTTCGCATGTCACATTCAACCTTTACGCAGTGAAGCGACATTCTGTCTTAACCTCTCCTCTCACAGGCGCGTGCTAACTACGCATGCAACTTGCACACTTTCACCTTCATTCTTTTTTCAAAAAAATTCACAATTATGGTTTATACAGCATTTCTCGAGTTGAGATTTGTTATTCCTATTAATTTAATTTTGAACGCATATTTTATAATACTCATAACTTTTAATTTAACATTTCATCATTTTTTATTAAAACCTATTAAAATTATGATTTTAAACCCCACGAAAAATGAACATAACATGTCAATTCTTGTTAATAAATGTAAAAATATATCATTTAAAAAAGAATATAAATTTAACATTAATACAACTAAACAAGAATATAAATCATCAACTCGTTTTTCTAATAATGGTGGAATGAAATTGAAGTGCTTGTTCGATAATTCTTTTTTTTAAGGATTTATCAGTATAAATCATACGAAATGTGAAGATAATACTTGAATAATAAATCGAATATATGAATAAAAATTTAAACTTTACCAAACGTGCATTCAATTCCAATCACCTCACTAAGGTTGGGCTAACAGATTCTCAGTTTACACTCCAAAAATAGATCATAACAAAAGCAAGCAGATAGTGACTTGAAAGCCCCTTTGTTACCCCACTCAAAAGTAAGTGGACATGGCATCTCTCTTCTCCAACCTGCAAAGTTCCCTGTATGTGAGAGAGAAAGAGAGAGAGAGGAAGAGGAGGCTTGATTATGCTATGGGAAAGATCTCGAATCTATACTCACCATCCATTCAGCGTTCTCTCCAAATACCTTGGACCCCACGAATAAGTCACACACCCAAAATCCACCACCACCGCCAACGGTGTAGTAAGCAACTAATAGTAGTGTCAATCCACCAACAATTAACACCCTTACCCACCTTTTCCTTAATAAATAATTGAAAAGCCCAAATCATTCAAAAGCCCCTTCTCAACCTCTGATGACAATAATGTTAAAAGAATATGGTCACTGTAATGAGCTATCAAAATCTTGATAACAACGCCGTACACTCTTGTTTTACATTACTGGGCTGATTAATTTTCTCTCTTTTGACGTCCCATATTAGCCCAAGATTATCCGGCATGCCGACGCCGGTTAGTGCAGCCAGGGCATGCTTAACACAGGAGGCGGTGGCCACCCTCGATGAGGCTGTGGCGGTGGCGCGACGCCGGGGGCACGCGCAGACGACATCGCTACACATGGTGTCGTCCCTCTTATCCATCCCAAATTCATCCTTACGTGAAGCATGCACCAGAACACGCAACAACGCATACTCCACACGATTGCAACTAAAGGCTCTTGAGCTTTCACTGAGCGTGTCTTTGGACCGACTGCCTTCTTCGCGAACGAACAAAGTTGAGGAGCCACCAGTATCGAATTCTCTCATGGCCGCTATAAAAAGATCGCAAGCGAATCAAAGAAGGCAGCCTGAAAACTTCAGCTTCTATCAGCAGCAGTATTCTTCGTGTTCTTCTGTTCCAGTGGTGAAAGTTGAGCTCCGGAATTTGATTATATCAATTCTTGATGACCCTTTGGTGAGTAGAGTTTTCGGTGAGGCGGGGTTCCGGAGTTGTGATATAAAGATAGCTACACTCAGGCCAGTTAACAGTCTTCATGGTCACCATCTGTTTGGATATTCGTCTAGTTACAAACGGCCACAATCACCTTTGTTTTTATGTAATTTTAAGAGTAGTGATAGTACGAGTGATATATATATATATATATTGTTTATTTTTTTATTTTTTTTATTTTTGGGGAGATTGGCAGATTGTGGGCTTTTGTCTATGGTGTGTCATAGATAGTTCATAGATCTTACATATCTACGTAATATATACAGGTCAATCCGCCATATGGCCAATGATTTATTATGAACTACATCTGCTTAAACTGCAAAAATCTGGTATCAGTGCAAAGTAATTTGTGGCCTGTATGACAAAGCTTTTGGTAAAAGTTTTAGTAGATTTTGATAAAGGTTGATGAAATTTGTGGTTGAAAAGTTGGTAAAAGTTGTGGGTCCTATGAGATTGTTATTAAAATTGAAGTTTGACCTAATAAAAAGTTTCATCAAACAAGCTGTTGATCTACATATCTTGATAAGATTTTATGCTTTTTGTGGTTGAACATGTTTCAAAATAGTCCTCACGTTGATGTAAACATGCTCGTGTAGAAAAATTCCTGTTATTTTGTAAGTATTTTCCCCAGGTGCCAAAATTATGAGTATCTTCACCCTAAACTTGTTCAGACTGATTTTCTTTGCTTTGTTAGAAACTTATCGGGCTGCTGACAAAATTAATCTCGACTCATGAATGTTGTTAACTAGTGTTTCATATGCCTTCCTCACCATCCCTTTATTAGGTTTTGCTGCACTTTGCACTACTTGGCACATAATGATTAACTAATGTTAAAGTTAATTATTGTTTTATTTTCCAATATGATTTCAAAATTGTTGATTTTATAACTTGAAAGTTCTAATTAGCCGATCTATTTATTTATTTAGACCCAATTGTGGAAATAAGTAATTAAAAAAGAAGCGAGATCTATTTATTTATTTAGACCCAATTGTGGAAACAAGTAAATTAAAAAAGCAGCGAGTTAATTTTAATTGTTCTATGTGATTAGTCAATCAAGTTCAATTAATCTATGATTTGAATGCCAATATTTGGGCGAAAGTTTTTTGATTCGATATCTCACTTGAAGAAAGAAAGCAGCATTTTTTTTGTAAATTCTAATATAGTTAAAACAATAAATAATTAAAGCAGTAAAAAACACCAAAAATGATCACAGAAAAATCCCAACTATAAAAAATTTCGGGCACTTTGTCCGTCAACAATTCACTGTAAACAATGAGACTTACAGTATAGTCCAGACTCGACTTACTCTTAGTTCCCTCTAACCTTCCGGTAATCTCCTTGGTCCTCCTGGACTGTATGCTCCTCACACCAGCTCCCAACGCCTAATATCGTTTATCTTCTGTGGATTTCTAAGAATGAACCTCATTCTTCCAATGGAAGCGTGCTTCGCAGCGCCGTAACTCCTGGAACCTCTTCCCAAAATTTCAATAACTCTGAAGGCTAATTGGCGAAGGTAGGTTTAGTGTTTGATCAATAATCTTGTGTATTTTGATCTGCGGTTTAATATGAATGTTTATAGCTCGATCAACGAAGCTAAATTTGGATTAATTTATGAGTCAAATAATATGGGGGTTGAATCTTGGAATCAATGATAGTGATTTAGATCTTCAAAGGAATGATCTCTATGAAATAATTATGATTTAACACACTTTGGGTCATTCTTAGGATAGTATATAACTAGGAAAAAGTGTTTGAGATGAAAGGGAATTAAAAAAATAAGTGGTTGAAGCAAAACAGAATTCTGGACGTCGACCTGTCGCTCAAGCACCAAGTGGGCAGCCAGCGAGCACCATTTGAGCTGTTGTCATTATTTAAATCATAACTTTCTCTCTTTATGTCTGATTGAGGTAATTCAAAATGTGTTGAAAAGCTAAGTGAAAGTGCTATAATTCTTCTAGAAGTAGCATTCTCCAAATTCGAATGTTTGTTGAAAAATGCGTTGCAAGTTGCGGTTAAGAATTTGGAACATAACATGTGCGCTCTTTGATACCCTTTAGACTTCTAATTGAATTCCTTTGATCANTTGCAAGTTGCGGTTAAGAATTTGGAACATAACATGTGCGCTCTTTGATACCCTTTAGACTTCTAATTGAATTCCTTTGATCATATGTAATCTTCATGGACATCTTTGACATTTTGGACTACTTCAAGATCTATACCACCAATCTTTATCTATTTTGAGTTTGATTATAACTCAATAAACTCTTAATACAATTCAACTAGAACCTGATTTTGTCTTAGGAAATTGCCAATTACAATTTGAACTTAAAAGAACTCGTAGATGTTTCTATCAACTGGATTTGTTCATTTCTTACAGGTTCTTTGCCAGTAGAATCACTTAAAATTTGTTAAGATATTTTAGTCACCATGCGTTAGCATCAGGAAGAGGGTAAATTTGCTCAGTTCAGGTACCAAGTTGTATAATGTCTAAATTCCTGTGTATCTTTAATCTAATTTTGCGTTCTATAGTTGACAATCTTCTGATTATTATTATTATTATTATTATTTTTTTGTGTACCCATGCCAATCCTTATTACCTTCTTCTGTTCATCTGACTTCCAATCATAACATGTTTATTGGATTTGATAATTTGTATGCTAATTATAATCTTGCAGCTTGATGGAGTCTTTTGTTCCATTGGGTGGGTTCTTTTCTACTCCACCTGACATGAAAAGCCCGTTGGGCAGCTCATACCTCAATGTAATCCGCTGTCATCTGTGCAACGAGAAGTGTGAACAAGAAGTGACTGCTCTTTCAAATGGAGGATTTACTGATTTGTCTGCAGAAAAAAATCATTCTAGTTTGCCTTCTTGGATGCAGATGACAGAACATGGTGCACTCAATGCTGTGGCTCCGTTGAAGGTGTGTGTCACTTTGAAAAAAAATTTGAGCTTGTATTGACAAATAGCTGCGACTTTTTGGCTATCCCTCATCACTGGGATGAGCTCATGATGCTAGTAGAATGCATTGGGTGAAATTCATTGAAGTGAGAAAAAATTAGAAAGGAAATTAAACTTTGTATGTTTTTGTGGATGTTGATATGCGTAGTCGCAATTATATGCATGTACATTCTCTCTGTTTTTATTATGAAGATTTAAGTTTTACTCTCACAATTGTTTGTAGCATTAATGAATTCTTTCTTAAGAAGCCATATACTATTCAGTAGCGTGGATTTAGTTCAGTTTCACGATCACACTCAGTGAAATATTTTCAGTGTCTGTCTTAGGCATTGGGTTGTAGGATTTTGTTGTTTTGTTCATGTAAAATAAGTAGCTGTTTTCTTCAGTGCAGGTCAAAGATGATGGAATGTTACTAAGTGCGAAAATTGCTGGGGTTCAGAGGAAATGGGACGGTATCTGTCAGCAGCACCATCACTATAGTCAACCTCTCCCCAAAATAAACAGCCACAAATTAAGTTTCCAATCTCCATGTGTTCCGGGTACTCAAGTTTTGGAGAAAAGGAAAGGGAATGCTAGTAATGACAGCAGCAACCATACATATGCCTCATCGAGTGAATGTGGAAGCAAGAATAAAGTTCCTTTCTTGTCGACAGATTTAGAACAGATTTCTTCATTGAAAACTCGTAGTCCATTGGATGTGCTTTCAGAGGCCGAGAATCTGAAAATTTTGTCCAAATCTTATAAAAAGCCTTCGGCAGTTGAAGATGAGTCAGCCAGCCTCAAACCGAATCCTTTGAAGTCTTCAAGTGCCAGCATCAACAATGGTCATACATCTCCAACTTCAATAACCTCAGTGGCTCGAGATTTGAGCATGCATATGCTTTCTGCTTCTACAGGCAGGGAAACAAGGAAACCAGTGGAACAATGTCATGTGGATCGTATTAAAGAATTTTCAGGCAGCTTGTCAACAGATGCCAACACTTTCAGTGGAATTATCTCAAGCCATCCCACTCATTCCTCCTCCTGTTTCTTTAATCCAAAAGATCCTAAGATGCTTTACAAGGCTCTAGTTGAAAGAGTTGGTCAGCAGGAAGAAGCTATTAGGATGGTTGTTGAAACAATAGTTGAACGTCAAACAAAAATTGCAGGCCGTCGTGGAGACTTGTGGTTTAATTTCCAAGGTCCTGATAGGC